GCCCCAGCTGAGTGCCATCTTTTGCCCTGAACTCCTGTCAACTAAGTAGATAAGTCTGCCTGTCTTGCTCTCAGGGTGTCCCCCAGTGGCCTGACTTGGGGCTCTGCTCCAGCAAAGGCCTAGGAGACAGGAGCAGGACAAATAACCGCTGAGTGCATAGCCAGGTGGACAGGTAGAAACATAGAAGAGTGACCGAACGAACAAATGAGCAAATGATGAAGAGGGGCAATGAGGGCAGTGCACTGACAGCTCATCCTTGAGTGGTACTTACTGGGCCCTTCTGTGGCCCTGGGAGCAAAAGGGCGTGGAGTCCCCATAGCCTGTGCTCCTTACAGCATTTTGTCTCCTTCCTGCAGGAAACCAGCCGTGCCCGTTGGGCTCCGTGGAGAGTTTCAGCCTTGCACGGCGGCGCTGGGAAATGCTGCCTGCCATGCCCACAGCCCGCTGCTCTTGTTCTAGCTTGCAGGCTGGGCCCTGGCTGTTCGTTATTGGAGGTGTGGCCCAGGGCCCCAGTCAGGCTGTGGAGGCACTGTGTCTGCGTGATGGGGTCTGAAGTCCTGGCAGGACCTGTCCCTGGGAGCAGCTCAGTAGCAGAGACAGTCTGTGGCTCCTTTTGCTGTTAAAGAAGCTCACTGTGGCTCTGTGGGATGAGGGAGGCACAGAGATGGGCACTTGGGATTCGGGTTGGAGGAACCTTCATCTTCAGTGCAAAACATGCACATGCTCATGCCTGTCCTTACTGCCATTTACATGGACCATGCCTCACTCCGCCCTTGCCTGAGGTCCTCCATCCAGCTAGGCAATGGAGAGAGGGGAGAGCCGGCTTCATGCCCTGCAAGGTTAGTGCCTGTCTGGAGCTGGCCAGGTCCACCCCAGCGGCCATTCCTGAAAAATCCAGTTGCCAGCCTGCATTGAGGGTCCCTGGAGAGCCAGGAGAGTTCAGAGAGGGTGAGAGACAGAGAGGGAATGGAGGAGAGGATGTGGGAACTGCCAGAGGGCCAGAGGATTGCTGGCTTTGGGCCCTCTGTGCTGTTGGTTGTATGGCCCTGGGCAAGTCATTTCACCTCTCTGTGCCTCAGCATCCTCTTCTGTAAATGGGGATCACTGAAACCTTCTTGCCCTACCTACCTCACAGGGCTGTTGTGAGGACTTGGGGAGTTTGGATGTGGAAGTAAAAGTGCTGCTAAACCTGTGCATAGTCCCTGGTGTGGACTCCCATGTTGTCCTCACAGCCCTTGCCACCTTTGGGGACCTCCCCTCTCTTGAACGTTGGTCTAGAGGGAGCATTCTTGGATCAGGCCTCTGCCCCATTTAAACCTCATATTCTCTCTTGGTGACATGGGAGGTGTCCTTGGTGTTAGGGTGCACTGATAGGATGACTAGAAAAACACTCAAAAAATAGTAACAGCAAACACCACATAGTTAGGACGACCTTCAGGTCCAAGTCCCACAGGGTCTCCTCAAGGCCTCTGCTCATCCCGTAGGGAAGGTGGTCCAGTGGGGCTCAGCCAGGGCAGGCTCCCTCTGTCTCAGTTGTGGTGGAACCTTCTCTTGGGTAGGACTGTGTGGCTATTCACCAAACCCCTCAAAGGCAGGAGCCTGTTGGCTTCTTCCTCCAGCCTGTGCTGCCCACTAGGGGCCTCTGGCTCTGCTTTTCCTGCAACACTGAGTATGAGGAGCTCACAGGAGAGGTTGTTGCAACAACAGAGAAATATGTGGGGCCCTGGACTCGTGCTGTGGCCATGACAACCCTCCTGGACTCCCATTCTTTCCCACTCAATGACAGGGCTCCCAGGGCAGCTCCTCCAGTACACTACCTGGGGATATGGCACATAAGTGCCATGGAGCCAGGTATGGCCTAGCAGTGCACCACTGCTCGCCAGCCCGAGACCTCTTGGATTGCAAAGTACAGACAGCTTGCTCTGTCAGCTGGCGTTGTTTAATGCTCTGGACCAGTTCAGACACTCAGAGACCCCAGCATGAAGGTAGTGCTGCAGCAGCTTGGGTCTCGGAATCCCTGGGAGGACAGGCAGTGTGCTGGTGATCGGTGCCTGGGGGCCCACCTTGTCACTGCCACAGTGGCCGCCCTGGGATGGATGGCAGAAATTCTGCTGGTAGGTGGTGCTGGCACGGGGAGGCTGGAGCTGCACAAAGTGGACGAGGCGCTGGGGGAGGCCACTGGATCCTGGGATTGACCGGAAATCAGCCTGGTAGGAAGATTCTAGAGGCCCCTGCTGGCGCAACTCCACCTCACAGGGGGTCCAGCGCAGAAAGGTGTGCTGTTGGCACAGGCGCTCCAGGTCTTTCCGCCTTCCGATGCCCTGCAGCAGGCAGTAGGGGCCCTTCTCAACGGTATGGGCTCTTGGCCCACAGTCCTGGCACCAGACATATTCTTGGGCCCCTCTTCAACCCAAGACTGCTTGGTGACACCTGGCCTATGCCCTAGCCTCCTTGGCCTGCCTCCCATCAATGCCTTCCATTCCAGGGTGAAGACCCCAGAATGGGAGCAGCCCACAGGATGTCTGTACAGTCGGGCAAGCCGGCAGAGGAAACCAAGGTAGAGGAGCCTCTGATTGGGGAACAAGCTGTTTCCCAGAGTAGAAAGGAGGTAGAGAAGATGGGCACTCCTCTCCCTTCCCTTAGATCTTATCCCCTCCACCCTACCACCTGCTCTGCCCTCTGCTTCAATCCAGGCTGGGGTGGGGACTGCCCACTCTCCTTCCTTCCTCTGCACTCACTTTGTCGAAGCAAGTGCGGTTGTCATGCTTGGAGAAGAAGTGTCGCTGCACTGGCTCCTTGAAAGACAGAATGAAAGTGAATAGGGGAAATGATGCCTGCCTACTCCACTCCCATGGCCAGGTGGGATCTCAGAGCCCATCACTGAGGGAAGCATGGCCAAAAGGCCAATATCATGAAAGGGGAGAGACAAAGGAAAGCAATACCTCCCTCCTGGGATAGCTTGTCCCGGAAGCAGAAGCCTCTGGAGCTGCTTATTGAAGGGGGGACAGGCATCTTCCAGCACTATTGCCCTAAATTTACCTCTAGGTTGCCCAGGACTAGGTGTCAGTCTTCTCCTTCCCTTTCTCCACGCTCACCCCATCAGTATACCCAGGCTCTTGAGCCTAAACGCCACTTGGAAACTGAAATTTCTGTCTCTCTCTCTCTCTCTTTTTTTTTTTTTTTTTAAGAGGTTTTTGCTATAGGGCGTGTGCGCTC